AACAGCCTACAGATTACCGAAGATTCACAAAGGTGAGCCACTAAGGCTGATAGTCAACAACAAGTATGAAGTAACACACAAATAAGCAGTTTATATGTTTGAAACTCAAGAAATTAAATGATAGGCAATCAAACCCGGTGAAACATTCATATGAATTTTCTCAAAAAATCAAAAACATAGCACTGGAAGAAACGGACTTATTGGTAAGTTTCGATGTGAAATCGATGTATACCAATATCTCTGGAGAAAATGCGCTAAGGGCCCTGCTGGAAATGCTGGACCGAGAGGAGGATATCCTGGAACCACAACGGATCGGTAGGGAATCGTTAACAAGACTAATCAACTTGACAATAAGGACAACCTATTTTACATTCAACGGGAACATCTATGAACAAAATATTTGGGACTTCCCATGGGATCGCCGCTCTCCCCACTTTTGGCAAACGTATACATGAACAAAATAGAAGAGAAGTTCAAGATAGCACAGCAACAACCGGTAGTGCTCATGCGGTACCTGGATGATTACTTCGCACTTTGGTCACATAGAAGAGAAAAACTGGAAGAATTTCTGAAGTTTGTAAACCAGATGGATAAAAAAATTTAATTCACGATGGAAGTAGTGGAAGGTGAGCAGTTACCGTTCCTGGACGTTGAAGTGATTTGCCCTAATGGGAAGCTCAAATAGAAATTGTTCAGAAAGAAGTCCTATGCTAGGATAATACACAATTTCCGGTCCCATCATGATTATAGGCTAAAGATTGAAATAATGAATAACATGATCATTCGAAGCCTACGCCTGAGAAATGTAGAATTTTGGGACGAAAAGCTTGACAAATTGAGGATACTCCTCGACAATGGTTATCTTAGCGAAGTGATACAAAGAAAAATACCGGCCGTGATAAGCCGGTGGTAGAACGGGGACAATGAAAGAACAGTAAGGACGATGAAGGATTCCCAAAAGTCGATGTCTACCTAACTGCGAACTAACTCAAAAACTACGGCCAAGATTGAGGAAATGGAATATCCAAGTGTGCATGAAAGTGAAATCAACACTTTTCACAAGTTTACCGACGCAACATGAAATGGTAGATAAATAGGATTTTTAAGGAGTTTATTGCATATGATGCAGCGCCTGCGAACAGAAATATATTGGCGAAACAGGAAGAAAAATTAGGAAACAAATCAAGTAACATCAGAGGCTCTGCAGGAAAATGGATACCGAAAGATCGGAACTAGCGGAACACATCGCACAGACTGGACACGAGATCAATTGGAAGGCACCAGAAAGCAGAACTTTATATGGTGACATCATTGGTGAAAAAAGCTAATGAACAGATTGGAGGAAGATAGAGTTAGCGATGACTTTACATACTGCCTAAGCAAACTCGAGAAAAACAAAAATAGAGCAAGACCAGCAAAAAGGAGACGCCTGGATCAAGGATCTATCGCTAATCGGAGGAAAAGGGATCACGATGAAGAAAGCGGGAGGAAGAGGTTTTCGGCAATAAAGCGACGTTGTCAGTGAGTGATGCCCATTTTGAATAAACCAGTACAACTTTGGGGGCATGGCAGTAAGGGAGCTGGGCAGATGGATAAGTAAACCGTCACGAAAATTCGGCGATATGGCCAAAATGTACTATAAATCAACTTGAGATGCCGCATGTGACCAGAGATAGGCCACTGTTTTCTCAGATATAATTGGTTTAATCAAGGAGAGGACCCGTGAAGTAAAGGCCCGATATATGCAAGCACAAAAATCAGAGCTTACGTAATCTGCTCAGTAAAACGGCAGTGGACGTGCTTTTAGGTCCTTAAAAAATAGCGCCTGGAGTGAAATGCACACTGGGACTGGAACCAAATAAAATCGGTCAACCAGAAAGATAAGGAACGGATCTACGGGACCATGAGGGGACCCGGATTAAAGTCCCGAGCCGGATCAGCCGATCGAAAGAGAGGGATCGGGGTAAATAGTAAATGCGATGAGGCCACACTAGATTTGCCACAAAAGGTCACACATTTTGACAAATGGGATGTAAACAAGTCAGAAATTGTGATAGGGCGGCAATTGGATAAGAGAGTAAAGAGTAGGTAGATAGGCCAGGACAGAAAGGAGTGATATTGTAACGGTCTTCGGCAAAACGTTTGTCTAGGGATTGACTTCACTTGTCTCTTTGACGAATTCTTAGTTTGATGCGGAGAATGGCAAAGCTCACTGATGATGCCGACTACGATGGTGGCGAAACGTTTGAGAATGTATCAAGTCCACTATCTGATGATAATTACTTTTGCAGACGACTTCGGACTAGGTGCGTTCTATTAAGTCGCCCTGACAACAAGACCAAGTTGAAACGAGGTAAACCGACTTCTATAAATTGAAAGGAGACTGTGACCATACCAGAGGCCACAACATCTTGGTCTTCATATCTTCAATTAAATGGACCAATTTATATCCTTAAATCAAATTATGATAAACTTAATTTTAAGCCATTGCTTACAAATATCTATTCCAATCTAAATGAACTATCAGCCGTGTGATCCATTCAATTAAAAACCATAAAAACTTAGTCTTGGAGAACGAGTCGATTGATTGGCATGCGCATATATAAAGATATGCACGCACATGTTTTATTAAATATTTGTTCAATAGCTTACCATAGTTAAGAAGACCAAATGGTCAATAACTTCAACTTCTTATTTTGCTCACGACAGCATATCTCAGTGCCTAAAGCTAGAGGCATCTCGAGTTCTGGAGTAGGGCTCATCTGTGAAATTGTATGACTCGGTATATGAATGCGTGCAGGGTTGGTAACTGCCTTGGTAATAAATGTTAGAGGGTGGAAAGGGAACACCACATGGAAAAGACTGATGAAAAGCTGGACTTTGGGTAAAAGTCCCAGATACATTCTGGAAAGACTGCGGAAAGGTTAGATTGGTCAAAGTTTGGTAATCAGGCCATCGCCCGTACTGGTAAAACGGATAATAAGGATGATGGGTTATGTCGAAAGATGACAGGGAAATATCACCATGATAACCAGAATTAAAAGGACGGCGAACATCGCTACAACTAAGATTAACATTACTGGAGCTAAAAGGGAAATTTCGATCACAAATTCGGTCGCGTATATGAATACTAGAACGCGAGCCAATGTTAGGGCTACTAATTGTAACCATTTTAGAAGTATTACAAGTGGTAGTAATGGCACAAGTGTTTGGCGAGAAGAGGACAGTAGATCTTTGACTTCTATCGATTATAATATTACCATTGCCATTATCTTTATTATCCTTTGTAGCAGTAGTAGTGGTTACGACGGATGCAGTTGATATATGAGAATCGATAGGAATGGTTCCAAGTACATGTGAATCATTTGGCCTCTTCAGATTCGAGGCTGACAACGAGGAATTTGAAAGGGCATTTGCTTCTAAATGAGGGAGAGAGGATGAATTCTGAGTATTAGACGAGATTAAAGGAAAGGAAAAAGAGGAGAGTATGGAGGGGTCAGTGGACTGAATGTCTGAAGCAACAATAGATTTTAAAGACTCGGCCGGTACGAATTGCTTAACACGGCAAAGCTCAGTTTGATCGCCAGAAAGAGAGCTAAAGCTATCTGAACATAAAGTAAAACCGAATGTGGAGGATTTGGAGCCGTTATTCTGGTTAGCTAAAACATCAGCATCAATCTAAAATCATAATTTTAATATACATGTGTGCATATACATATAAATTTATTCAAAATATGTAGTGGTTAACGCTTGGAAGAAGGCAAAAACATTTAATATAAACATTAAACAGAGTAGACAAAATAAATATTACGATTGAGGCAACAAGAACGGTGAAAAACGATGAATGGACAGAAGGGAGGGATGCAGCGTAATAGAGGTACGTAAATAGGGGAAAAAAGAATGGTTGAAAAAAGAAATGTACGTACTACACAAATGAAGGAGCCACAAACCGAATAAGCAAAAGCTGAAAGGTGGCTATGTACAATATACAAAGATATCTTGAGCCCTTTATGATAGCGTCTTAAAATTGAAATAAAAAAAATACTACAGGGAGAATAAGCTAATTTAAACAAATGTATAAATATACTTTAGTAGTTATTAGTATTGATAAAATATTGAGCATAAGTTGATGAATAGTGAAGCTAAGCATATTTAAAGATTAGCTGGATTAGGTGAAAAGCTAGAAATGTCAGGCTGACTTATATGCCAAAAATATTTCAAAACTAGAAAGCTACATAATAGCATGTGGGAATTATAATAATGCTCTTAAGAATTTAATATAGCAATTCGTCTAAATAGACCATACCTTCAAAAAAAAAATTCATCAAGACCTACTTGAATTCACAAGATTCCAAAGTGAAAGTGAAACAAAAAAATCTTTCAGATTCACAATCAAACCCAAAATTAGACAGCTATTATCGATATATAACCTTTAGTAGAATTTGAGAGGGAAATAAGACAAATTAAAATTAAAATCCAAGTTCTTATTTAATACACACACAAAATATGAA